AAATGAAAACATAATGAATTCCATATGAGCTGGGGGAGAGGAGGGGGTGGGGGCGGAGGAGAAGTCGCCATCGATGCCACAGGGCTGCTGCTGTTGAAGCTTTCAGAGGCCTTAAGGCGGGAGAACATGGTGAGGGCATCTGGGAAGTTCGGGGGAGTGGCTGGCGTGTTGGCAGGAGTACACATCTGTAGGGAAACACAGAGGCAGATGGTAGTCAGGGGCACAGCCTCTCCCAACCCAGGCTAGAGAGCAGCAAGCAGCCAGCTCCAGGCAGAGCATGTCCACAGGGTATTCCATCTCTCTTCCCCTCAGTCTCTTGCGCTAGGAAGGGAGGAACACCAACAGCTGAGCCATTACAACAGAACCCTGAAGAACCACAGTTTCTTTTGGGTGGCCTCCTACCACAACTGTAGCCAGGCTAAGGTGGGCAGGGCTGGGGGGAGCAGGTACAAGCCAGGGAGCAGGAAGGCAGGAGGGATGCTGACAAAGCTCCTCAGTTTTGCTTTGCAGCCCCTAAGCTGTTTCAGTCCTGGCCTCTCCCGCACAAGCACAAGCACAAGCACAAGCACAAGCACAAGCACAAGCACAAGCAGCTTTGCAGATGCCCCTTAGTCCTCCTGTGCCTCTACTGCTGCTGCAGGAGGAACCCTCTACACTACTCCCTCTCCGTTTCCCAAGGCCCCCCTCAACTGAGAGCCACTTGCTGAACCCGCACCCACTTCTACTGCACTGGGGAACTGAGGGTAGTAACCAACTACACCTCCTATTCAGTGGCATAAGCAGCCGAGTTGGCACCTGGGACAAGCCATGTAGGAGAGCCAGAGGGACACTTGGTTTCAGGAGCTGGGGGGCAGTTCTGAGAGTGGCTGGGGAAAGTCCATGACATGGAAGCACTGCCATACAGGGACTCACAAAACAGTCCCAACAGAGCTGCTCCCACATGCTCTGCTTTAGGAGCAGCTGGGGTGAGCAATGACAGCTGGGGACTGTTTTGGAGTTCATAGCCTCGCAACACTGTTGGTCCGTGGTTTCTGCAGGGGTGAGAGGCAATTCTGGCACCCCTCCTAATTTGGTGCCCAGGGTATGTTTCACACTTGCCCACCCAATTATGCTATTGCTCCTACTGGACCCCCACCCTGCTCCCTGTGGTGCAGCACTGCCTAGTGCCAGTAGGGCCTATGCTAACTGAACACCTCAATACTGTGACTACGAAACCCACCATTCTGACTCTTCTCAGAGGGTGGCAGGTGAGGTGTGCCAGGTGGCTGGAGTTCTGTTACATCCTGGAACAGGGCTGCTTCCAGCACAGTGATTATTTAAGGCTCCTGAGGATTAATCCTCCTCCGAGCACTCAAAGGTCCCCAACAGGAGCTGCAAATGGTGCCCCTGGGAGCCAGCCTTGCTTTGCCACCTCCCCAGCATCAGAGCCTTCAGATGTGAGATAGTGATCACAAGGAACATGAGTGTGGAATATCATGTTCACAGGAGGGGAAAGGGGAACTCAAAGTCAGTGCTGGAAAAAATACTAGTGCTCTGATACAGCCCTGTGCACCACAACACAAACACCATAGTCCCTGGCATATGCTCAGCTACCACTGCCTATCATCCTTGCTTGGTAGCTCCCCAGGGAAGAAATGTGATCTAGGATGGCTTGGGCTCCAAAAGCCAGGGCTCCCCCTGCACCAATTTTGAAGGCCTGACCCAGGGCAGTAACCTCGAGTCAGTCAGGCAGGCTGCATACAGCCTGCCCTGTGCTGCACTGGAGGTCCCATTCTTCACAGGTTCAAAAGCATCCAGTACTGCAAAGCTCTGTATCCAGCTGGAGTGGAGAGCAACAAGCCTATCCCCACACCCTCAGCTGCCAGAACGCATCAGGCCTTGCTGGGTGCTTTACTCCAAACACTCACTGCATGCTGCAAATCCCTGCTTCTCCCAGAGAACTGCAGTCAAATGAGGCCACAGCAAGCAGCAAATCCCTGAGACATCTGACCTAGCAGATTACAGGCCACACTAGCAGGAGAGTTAAAGGGGCAAGGTATGGGCAGCCCAGGGACTGTTGCCTTGGGGAAGGGGAGGGAAGGGACATTTACAGGAGGAGCCAACCAGGCCACATGGCTACAAGGAGATGGATCTTGACTCTGGAGTAGAAGACGGGCTGGGCTCAGTGCTCTGGCTCCAGCTGCATACAGATGCTGAGCAGAACTCAGTCCAAGCTCCCTGGCCTCAGAGCAGGACTGAGGCCACTGGTATATAGCAGAGTTCTATGAACTGCATGAGGGCAAGCTGGGTCTGGCACTGCTGTAGCCAGTGCAAAGAGCAGAGCTGCCCGGTATCCTTACACCTCACCCCTGGGTGACAAAGAAGGCTCTCAAGGCCAAGTGCCCTGATGGCCTGTCACAATGGATCCAGCAGCACCTTCCATCAGTGTAGGCTGCCTGCCATCACCAGTGTGAGCTCCCACATACCTACCACACAGCAGCTCTGGGTAGCCTTAGCATGTGTGGAATGGGCTGTGCTGGGGGCCCTCAGAGAGTTTGAGCTTCCCCAGGCAGCTGTGTGAGACTCGTGTGGCATGGATGGGAGCAGATCCAGGGTCCTGGGAAAGAGGTTACTACTACATTGCTGTTCTGTTCAGAAGCTGCAGCAAATCAGTTGATTGAATGTGCAGGAATGTGGCACCAGTGGATTGTGTCCATCCCCAGCCACCTCCCTGCACACAGGCTCTCTAAAGAGCTTCCTGCCGGGAAGGCCACAAGGCTGTGGAGTGTCCCCACCCCTCTGCCTGCCCAGTCCTGCTTTCCCAACGCCTGTTCCCACCCTGCCCCTCCCTTGTGTCACAGTCTCTGCTTCACATTAGCAAGCTTCAAATTACAGCTTCTTCTTCCTGGTTTTTCCCTAGATGAGCCCCCGCCCACCCCTTGCTGCTGTATGGGGCAAACTGCAAGCCACACCAGCAATGCTAGCTCATGCTGGATAAGGTGACTGCACACACAGTCTGGGACACAGGGATCTCCCCACAGGACACTCTCAGGATACAGCCTAGCCTCTGCTATTCTCCACAGGAAACTTGCTTGGCAGGACATGCACCCCAGCCCCTCTCCACACATGGCTTTACTGTGAGCGCCTGTCCTCTGCGCACTGGCAATAGCAGCTCAGGTGTGCACAGCAGCCACTGCTCTTCCCCTGATTCAGCAAGGCAAAGGGCTGGGGAAGCACTTACCATCTGATGGTGATGGCTGTAAGGGATGTTTGTTTCTTGGAAAAATGCACTGAGCGCGGTCTGCAAAAAGGAAGGAAGAGATTTATCATTGGGGCTGGGAAGGAGGCATTTGCTTTGCTCAGCCCTCCACAGCCCACACACAGGGCCTCACACACCAAGACAGGCTACAGGACTGGGGCCTTAGGACACTGCTCTGCTCTTGGATCAGCACAGCTGGTTCTTGCCTACCAACACCCTGCTCACTGGAGCATGGGATTCCAGAAAGATCACGAAGAAAAGCTATCCAGCATGTCAAAACCCAGGATTCTCCATCAGCTTCAGCCCCCTGTAATAAGAGCCCCAATGCAAAGGACACCTCTGAGTACTGGTCTCCACACCCTGCCAACACCAACCACTGCCTCCTTGGGCAGTACAAACTGCCTCACCATAGCTGTCTCACTCCTACTTTTCTGTGTGAAGTATGCAGACAGGTAAGGCACGGTGCATAGGCAGTTGCTCCTGAGTTTCTGAAGAGCAAACTGTGTTTGCTGTCTGGTTGCATGTTAGACCAACAGACACAATTATGCACACATGTACTACTACTGCACCCACTAGGAAAAGCAGCCAGTTCTCAGGTAGAGCCCAGGTTTGTACCTGCTTACAGAAATTTCATGCAGTTGTTTAGCACAGAAGGTGAAGAATATCAAATCCAACTGCGGTGACAGGGGGCATTTAGAGTAAGGGCTAGAACTGGACAAGAGAATCAGGGTTAGCATGCAAACTCTCATGGAAACTGCTAGAGCAGGGGTTGGCAACCTACAGCCCCACAGATCAAATCCAGGCCACAAAGTAATTCTATACAGCCTACAAAGTTGGGGTTCCTGTAGTGTTTTACTGGCAGGGGGCTTCATCCATGCATCAAGGAGAAGCAGTGGCTAGGTCAGATAAGCCAGCCCACCTCAGACTGAGCTAGGTTATTTTGTCCCACTGATCCTGACACATTACTGACCTCTGTGTTACAGGATCTAGAATTATCAGTCAGCCAAGACTTTAGTGTTGCTCATCCCATCATATAACATCCTTAAAGCCATGCTGGGCTCTGGCATAGGTCAGACACACAGGGACAAGCCCTTCCCACCAGGCTGGCAAGAGCCCACGGCACACGGAGGAGGTCTCCCATCTAAGCTTCACTGCAGGATCTGAAAGGCTCAGAGTGCATGAAAGGCACAAATGCATGGCTGTGTCTGTGCAGGTGCTAAGGCTGAGCTCATTGCCAGCCCAGCCTCATCCCTCCTCTGACATTTGAAGGAACATTTAAGTAAGTTGGATAAAAATGGGAGTGTGGAAGACTAAGGAGGATAATCACCCAAGTGGATTCAGATGAGAGAGTCTTGGACAGAAGGGTCTGGTCCTTCTCCCCCTTGATGTATATCAGGAGTAACTCCAGCCAAGACAGTATTTTATACTGTTGAAACAGAAAATAGATTCCAGCCCACAGTGCTTTACTGTATGTTGTATGTGCACGGGACTTCCATCAGAACACTGTTATCACCAAAATACTCTGGAAGTGATCAATTCAGCCACTACTAATAAAACAGCAGTAGTAGCATCCAGCTCTCAGTTAAGTTTTGCACCAAAATTCCTTACAGATCTTCAAAGGGTTCCCTGCCAGGTTTCACTGCAGCCACCACCAACAGGCTGCCACCTCTGGGGCAGGACCCAGCAGCTGTTGGCCAGCAACTCAATAAAACAGTTTGAGAGAGACTGTAAAGGGAAGGACATTGCCACAGAACACAGGGTGCCCAGTTTGCAGCATTTAGGGTCCACAATGGCAACTTGTCAGGCTTGCAGCTAATTAGCATAGACACCAGGGGCAAGCAAAATCCAGCCCACCCACACCATTCTATATGGCCTGCTGGGCACCTAAAAAGTTTAGATAATTACTATTTATCTGCTCATGGCTGCCTGTCAAAGATGTCAGGCCTCTGGAGCAAAGCAAGCCAGCCAGCCCGCCCCCTCCCCACCCGCAACTGGAAGCCTCTGCCTGTGGCCACTTTCATTGCTTCCCTGCACACCAGCCTCCAGCACCATGTGGCTCCTGGCTGCATCACCGGACTGTGGGAGTACAGGGCTGCACCAGTACCTCGGGGCCAAGAGCAGGAAGAGGTATGTGTGTTCATATAGGGCAAGTCCCACATGCACACCTCACCATACACATGCACCCACACCCCACTTTGCACTACCATACACGCAGCCCCCCGCAGCCCCTCACACACCCCAGCCACTCTCCTCCACAAACCCCATATTTACCCACACCCCATATATCCACACACACACCCACATGCTCCCTCACCCCACACCTACCCCCCAACAAAACCCCCACACTCCATATACCCGCAGCCCCCCACAACCCTATACCCACCCCCCCATGCTCCCCACAGTATATGAGTAAAACTTCATTTTAAGCTATTGTGCCATAACCTCTGTGTATACTACACAAAAACATGTTAACAGGACAAAAATATTTTTTGAAATCAAATTAATGAATGCTGTAGATGTTTGATTACTACAATATAATTTGGTATTTTTCTGGTTCCAAGATGGCAAAACTCCTTGCTGAAAGGAGTATTTCTGGGGGCAACAGGAGGAACTTCTGGTAGCAAAGGCCAGGGGTTAGGGGGTGGGACTTCTGGTCCCAAGATGGCAGCCAGGGGGCAGGGCACTGGTCAAGGGGCGGGGCTACCCATGCAGCCCTTTACAGCTTGTCACAACGCGGTAAGCCACCCTCTGCCTGAAATAATTGCCTGCCCCTGATCTCTTGGGCAGGGCTGCCAACAGTCTGCAAGCTTAGCCCTAATTTTTTTTCTAAATGTCTATAAGGTCTGTAAAAAACTAAGAAACCATGAGCTTGATAAAAGATCTGTCATCAGACTGTGGTAGGATACAAATGCTGACATGCAGACAGAGCAAAGCAGCACTGCTTTGAGTTTGGGGTACGTCGCAGGGAACTCTCATCAGGGTTGTGTGTCCCACCAGAGCCCCCGTTTCCCCAGCCATGTGTTGCTGCTGCATCTTGGCTGTTGCCTGACTGCTAACAGGGACCACCTGGCCCCAGGCAGTCTGAGGTATGGGACAGGACAGGGTGGGGCAGCCAGGATGGAGCTGCAGGGCTGGGAGCGGGAAGAGGCAGCAGGTAAGGATTCTGTGCCATGTTGGGAGGATCAGGGCTGTGACTGGTGGGTAGGCTGGTGGGGGGGCAGCACAGTGCAAACTGCTGTCAGGGATGCCAGTGTGTGGAGTTGAGTATGGGACCTCTGGGGTAGGCACAGCATGGTGGAAAACTACTGCTGCAGTCAAGGAAAACTTTGGTTAGTGTTAAACCATTAAATTTAACCCAATCCTTGTTACTACCATCCAGGGCCTGGCAGAAGTGTTACACCTACATTATGTCAATAAAAAAAAAAAGTTTGGTTGTCAGTAAAAACCTCTTTTTTGGGTTGGCAACCCTGGGAAGGAGAATAGGTATGGGGACAAAAACCTCTCTGGTGCCCTCTAGAGGTGAAGGGGAAGAAGTCAGGGAGCATTCCTACTTACTTGGTGTGTCTACACATGCATAATTACTCTCTACACGGACATGCCCGTACTGTGCAGTAACTACGGTGACTTATACCATCTTGGGCATAAGTTTGCTACCTGCACGACACCCGAGTAGTTACTGAGCAGTAAGGCACGTGTAGATGCTTTACTGTGCAGTAACCCTGTGTGTGCAGACTGACTTGGGACCAACTTTAGTCCCAAGTCAGTCCACACACAGCATTACTGCGCTGTAATGCCTGCATGTGTAGATGCCAGCATTAAAAACACTTACTGCGCAGTAAATGCAAGTGTAGTCATGCCCACTGACAGGCTAATCTGACTATACCACTCTCTGACTTCCCCTATGGGCAAATAGGAGAACACTGGGGGCTTTATTTTCAGTTGCATTAACGTTTACTAGTCCGCCCAAACTCAGAAATTTGGACACTTTTCACACATGAAAGAGGAGCAAAGCACACACCTAGAAGTTAACTGCTGGGGGAACTGGGCCTCCCTAACCACAGCATTATTGGGATGAGCACAGAGAGCAAGGATGAAGAAAACTGCAGGAGCACAGGATGGTGGCAGTTTACCAAATGAAGAAGACACTTCTGCTTGTAAGTGGCCTGGGTCAGGTCAAGTTGGGCAAGGACATGAGCTTGGATTGTAGCTAGCCAGGCGTCTGTTAGCAGCCTACTCTACTTGTCATGTTGCATTATGTAGCACAGCTTTTTGATACTAACACAACTCTGGGAGTGGAAGGCAACTGCTGGAGAACAGAGGTTTAAAGGCATTTAAATGCCTCAGGCCCTGGATGAAGGTGAGGCATTAGTCGAGAGCTGGAGCCGGTTGCTGGCTGTTTGTGTGGAATGCTGCAATCTGATCAAGTTGAAACATCAAGATATAGTCTAAGCATCAGTGGGCTATTGATTTTGGTGAAAACCAAATGGGGTGATGGAGGCACACATTGCTCCTAGCTCCTGGTTAGCAGACCCATCAGCTCCAAGTGGCTCTGCAACTGCCTACAGATCAAAGAAGCAAGCAACGGAGCCATCATCAACTCCTTCTGGCATCACTATGCACCCTAGCCATCTCAACTGTGTTTATAATGTTGACGTACTGCATGAACTACCTCCCTGAGACAGGAAAGAAATACTGTGATAAGGGGAAATCCAAGCCCTCTGGCAATGGGACAACACTGAGATTGCTTGATACCAGCTAAGTAGTTCCATCACCTCTAGCACCATGTCCCATTTTACCTCTGACCTCCACACCAAGTGAACTCACAATATGGATACAAATGACTTACCTAGCTGCACTTGCACTGTACCTGGAACTTTACAGTTCACCACCTAGACCATGCCAGTGGCAAGAAACAAATCAGCACCTCCAAAAGCTAAGTGGTAATTGGAACTCCAGCAGTATGAAGGTCCTTCAGTGTACAAAAGGGGGCTGTGAACTGACCAAGAATTACCTGCACAATGGAAATTTCAATTTGTATCCCACGAGCATCATTACATAGCCATACCACAGAAACTTTGCCAGTACATCCATTATGACTGCTGAGCTTAGCAGTATCATACTCCTAATTTAGAAGAAATTGTTGCTGCTGGTTGGTTTCTCTTTGACACGTTGACTTGCATGTTAATTGGCAAAGAGTAAAACTGCTCTTTTGTATCTGAAAAGAAATACCTGGCTGAGATGGTGAGGTCCTATACTGATGGCAGTTCTTTGTCTGTCTGGATGCGATGTGACAAGGCAGAAAACCCTTTTGATGTTGGTGAAAATAGATTGATGCTAGCTATAGACTCCTTCACACAAAACGATATCTCCCACTTGCTCATCCTGAGAGAGGCAACGTAGGTTGGAGAAATGGGGTTCACCCCAGGAGAATGAAGTGCCTGCTACAGAGGAGGGGGAAATGGAAATCACACAGGTACCTTAAAATGTGATAGAGGTGGGGGCACCACGAAGTCAGGGGTGTGGGGGAAGAAAGGGAAAAA